TAATATAACCTTACTACTTACGATCGGGTGTTTTGGGTTTCTGTTGGGTAGAATGTGTTTATCATATGTCTCACATCTGGCAACTGTTAACATTTGGTACAGACTGCAAGTTTTACTAACTTGAATGACTTGTTAGCTTCGTGAGTAAGCATATATTAATATATATATATATATATAACAACACCAATAGTAATATTCCAGTTAGAGGCAGAAGTGACTGCAACAGTTCATTCATACGCATAGACTTTTTATCTACTACGTATAATACACTCAAGTTGATCCCGCCGACGCAACTACGCAATAGCCGGAAGTATGTGTAACCGAATGTCGAGTTTATATAAAAGTTCGCCCAGTATGCTATTTAGCAGACTTTTCTATCATTATTGTCCAAGTGAGATATCTTTCAAAGAAAACTGTTAAAGATTCAGGCGGTGCGATAACAGGCTGGATCTTTTATTTCTCATTTTCTACTTCATATACTTTACGTCTATTATATCTTCATTCATTTCTCAACTTAAACACATGCCAGCTTCAATTTCCCTTATCTTGTACATCACCAAAGAATCTATAGAAACTATTAGCATGTACAGAAAGGTATGGCACTAAGTCATGTGTACTATAGTGAACCACAAAAAGTACAAGTTACATACTTCATTCCGGATAACAAAGGCGAAACGGACAATAACAATGGTGGTGTGGTGAACACAACACAGGGAAGCGCTGCAAGTGGGACAAATATACCTAGCACACAGAAATTCAGAAACACCAAAAGGGAATAAGTGCATGGCAAAGGAAGCTGATGCATGGACTCCTATGCTGGCAGAGATCAATAAGTACATTTATAGACAAGGGATCTGTCCAGTCTGCTTCAAAAAGGGCCATATACACAGAATTACTCCACAAAGGGATCCTTTGACAAATATTTTTGACAAGGTCCTCAGACACCCAACTTCTGGGCCTATTTTAATTTGGAAAAATGGAGAGAGAAAAGGTGCAAACAGGGAATCGCCTGGAGAGAAAAAGCAATTTAGTATATTGAGGCTGGGGAAATGGCTGTATCAATATATTGTGTGCATTGCAAAAGTGGGGAACACAATATGTGGGACTGTCTGGATCACCAGTCTGATGAATAAAACCAAAGCAACCATAGGTCAGTGATTGCAAAGCATATCCTACACCCCACTACCCTAGACAAATATAAAGTACAGCATAGGTTTTAACTAGAGGCTAGTTTCCTTCACTAAGCTCAGGTTTATAGGAGTTAATTATGGATAGACTAATAGAGTAGGATATCATAAATATGATATCAAATTATATAAGCCAAATATGTACTATATAATTTATTTTTTATTTATTTATGTAATATTGTGTTTGACACCATGTCAACACATCTTTGTTAGGTAGCAACAGTGACAACCCAGAAAATAAGGGGTCATCAACAACAAACAACAAACAACAACATTACAATGAGCAGCAAAAATGGATCAATACACAGTGCCAACTCGTTCTCAGAACTCCAAACTAATATGTTCATTGAAACCCATTCCATGCCTCAACACTGACTCTGAATCCCTTATCGATGGCATTCCAAGTATCTACCCATTAGCATATCAACAGACAACAATGCTTTCTTATATGACGGAAAGATGAGATATCTTGTGGCCGTTTTGATAGTGTCGTGCCGACTACTGCGGGAGAGCAGAAAGTAATCGACACTTGGGATTTAACTAGTCTCGGCGGAGCGTGGCACCTCCTATTCAAGTTAAATATCTAATGGTACAGTTAGTGACCTTGTAATCGCAAGGCTTTTCTCTTACGGGCTTTTTCACCGTAGAATGACGTTTAGTTTAATCGCTCTCGAGTGTATCGGCGGTTATTATCGAGGGATTAGTCCGATAATCTTCCGTTTGGGGTACAATGGTTTATCACTTAGAATTGAACGCGTTCGAAAATTAACGATTAAATGCCCTAATTCGCTACTCAGACAATTGCGGGACAAGAGGCAATTATCCTTGGTTGATATACGGATATAACGGTTTCTCAGATATATCAACTAATTTAGAGAA